TTTGTAGTTCGCTTGTTCTGTGAGATTAGTCAATAACTGAATCAATTCGCTTGACTGATCTTTTTATCGGATCATATTTTCTTCGTGCAAGGAAAATTAGAATAAAGTTCAACTTTTCTAAGCCATTCAGATCATAGCGAAGAACTATCTTTTTATATTGGCTTTGCTGTTGAATATTCGAGCATTATCTCGGCAAGGTAATGAATTTCGTATGACTTTTATTCTTTTTAAATATGATGAAATTCTTTTCGATTTCTCAATTTCTATTTTCTCCCACTACACGAATCGATCAAGAAGAAATATATAGCACTATTTTAATGCCGGACAACAACACAAAGCCGACCGATCATTTCTTGATGAGGAGAACACTTATTTTTGTTATTCACGTATCTAATTATTCAAATAATTGCTTTGTGTACATTTTGAAGATCGTGCTAATTAGACTGTATGAATGCCGGTGAAATGTATGCTTAGACACGTTAGTAAGAGAGCGCATCTAGAAAAGATGCGCTTCAACTATTGAGATAAATGTATGAGCAGAGCTGATTCAAACTATATATATACATGTATAATTACTGAGAATTTTCGAAGTACCCATATTGGGTACCCTGCTAAGGCTTTCTCAGTACATGGGTACCTTGAACTCAGTACTTTCTCTAGGATAGTAAGTTTCATTCGCTCATCTTCGACATCAACAGACAAAAAAATCAAAATGAAAGAAACCGACCAATCTTATGTTCAAATAGAGTCTTGTTTTTCACCTTGAGACTAACAACGATATATAAATGTTTAAATTGGTAAATAATATTTGACTTTCTATGAGTCTTACGAAAGACATTTCCGTCGATTCCAGCCGATTTTTAGTTGAAACTAATGTCTGTTTAGCGTAGGTAAGATTGTGGGATATTATACAATTTAAAGGTACAAATAATAGCTCTAAATTCAGTCGATGATTTTAATTTAATTTTCAATATTATAAGTTGGCGTGTCCGATGATAAATTTGTCAAAGTTTCGTTCAACAAAAATGAGGGTTATGTAATGAGCAAAAAAATAAGTGAATGATGAGAGTCTTGTATTACAGTTGACATGGCATTAATATCGACAGCAGATTATTTTTTTCTTCTAGCAACTTCTCCGTCGTTCAATAAATATAGACAGAAGAAAAAAGTGAGAATAAATGATTCCGACAATGATGAGATGGTTAACATTTTATAACTATCAATGAGGGGGTGGGAATGGGTCCTCCCTTCTACTACAACCACATTTGCTCTCATCATCACACACACCCACGCCTGCACATACGCTCATCAACTCAGCCACCCATCATCAAATGATTTATACTGCCTATGATCACCTGTAGGTCTCACTCACACATGTTGAATTGTTATCTTTTTTATTCAAATAAACGATCGTATTCATGCTAGTAAATCGATCAAATATTAAAATAACGTGTGTTCTAAAATGCTGCACATTCAATGATATGTCATGCGCTATTTTTCTTGTTGGCTTCTTTCATAGATCATGCGCGAGTATCGCCTCCTAATAGAGAAAATGAGAAGCTATATTTACTGTGAGGACCATGCGAAAAAAACACTTACCACAAGAATTTTTGTTGATAGCGAACATCTGTACGCGATAGTTATAAGAATCACATACATATAAATTGCCCTCACGATCAAAAGTCAGATCTGTGGGATGGTCGAGTAGCTTGGCCGAAGAACCCGGATCGGGTCCCCCAGCAATGACAGTGCCGGTGTGAGCACCTTTCAACCAGCGAACGACCCGATCATTATATGTATCGATCACATAGATCGAACCGAGCCGATCAACAAAAACAGAACTAGAATTACCTGGGTTATTTGAATTGATACCTACACCAGTGCCTCCGGCGACGATTTCTCCTACTGAAGCATTCACCAACCATTTTATTATTCGACTATTGCCCAAGTTAGCAACAAATACCGAGCCATCAAGGTCAACATAAATTTGCTGTGCTAGAACAACATTTTGACATCGTGAAAGAGACCTAGTTGAGTTACTCTATGTTGAAAATTGGGAAATTGATGAGTGACTATCATGCATAATGAAAGATTACAAAAAAATAGGGAATTAAATGAAATTAGAAAAATTGAGAAATCATGAGAATCCGTAAGAATAAGTAAGACAATCGTAGAAATGCATGGTGAAGTCGTACAGTGATTGAAGACAACTTCGTGCATGCAATACTTAGACGTCACATCGCATGCACAATCTAGCTTTATGCAGAAAAGACAAGGATAATCATGACATAACTAGGTTACACATTACATACACTCGCCCTCAAAATTGTTCGTACACCTGCATTATTGTGACTGCGAAACCGATCTTTTTATAGCGAACAAGAATCTGTTTTGTACTTCTGGTTTCACATGCATATAGACCGAGGGAACTTTCTCTTTTTGTTCGCAAAATCGACCTCTGCTCTTCAAGATCTTCAATAATTTTGAGATGAAATTCGAAAAGCCATCTTTTTTTTTTGAATGTGAGTGCAGGTGTCTTTAGAAGGATTAGTGACACCCACACCCTCTAGAGATTAATATTCTGTATGGGTGTAGGCGTGGGGTGTGGGTGTGGGTGTGGGGTGGGGTGTGAGTGTGAGTCTTCAGTTGATCCACACCCACATCCACACCACACACCCACCTGCACCCACACCCTTTCTGCTAAGGTACTGAATACTTTCCAATCTTAGAAAAGAATTTTTTCACGCTTACATTATCAATTACGTTCTGTCTGTATTGTTGTATGCTAGAAAATTTATTGTAATATTTTTGAGAGCTCCTACTTATTTTCTATAAATTGGTTCAAAATAGTTGTTAATAGAACATCGTCTGACATCTTGGAATAATGTATCTGAAAATTGTCAGTTTCTCATTTTTCCTGTGCTATTATATCTGGTAGCTAGCAGCTTCATCATATTAATATCTGCCAATAAACAAGATGAAGAATTCGACTTACGACCCCTAAATTGTGTGAGAGCATGCCCACTGCGTACACCTGCGACGACATGTTGAACTTGTCCGTTCTTTGTGTATTTGACAACCTGATCTCCTCCATTACCGCTTACAGCTAGATACAAGCTCTGCTCTTCGTCGAGGGCTATACCCCTTGAACTGATATTCGAGATAATAGTTTCAGCGGCTTCAGCACCCTTTACCAGTCGTTGCACACGACGGTTGTTTATATCAATCACAAACAAAGTGCTTTGCTTGTCCATTGCCAAATACTTAGGGTACCAGAGTTGATCGCTACGATTTCCTGTCTTCATGTCGCCTATAATTTTTGTCCGTTTGATGCACCTCGATCCCACTACACGACACGATTATTGCTACTATCGGAGATCAAGAGAGCGCCATTGTCATTAGGATCAATGAATATACCAGTGGGGTGAGCCAGTTGGTTAAGAGCCGAGCCGTGACCATTGCCTCCCGCCACTGTTTTTGCTTCTGACTGCCAAGTGGCTGTTGTACAAAGGCCATCCGTAGTGTGTGACGAAGGAGAAGTAGCTAGAACAAAGTGTAGACTCATTGTGATCATTCAAATAAGAAGTTGGCATTTTGCTTACTCGTAGTCGTACTCAGAGAGGGACAAATTATTGGATCAGCTAACTTCATGGAGTAACAAACGAGTCTTTCATAGCATCGAGAATGTTTCACACATGCCGTATTTGATTGAGCACACGTGACATTGTCATTTTCACATGGTAGTAAGTTCGAAAAGCAACTGTCGCCGATATATGCACAAACGCCTCCTTCAGCATCTCCTCCGAGTTGAAGCCAGGCGCAATGACTATTTGATGAACACTGATCATACTTTTTGAGTTTGCACGTTTGTGATGAGACCCAGCTAGAGAGAGCAACGACCACAGCCAAACCGATTGATAAAAACATTTTTTCACAATGGTCTTAGTGTGCACACTTCGACAACTAATATAAATCTAGTCTCAAATTACAATTCTCAATTATCTTCATATGTGCGCCCTGTATTGTGTGCATAGGGATATATGAGAATAATTGGACAGAAACATTAAAGTACATAGATCATTTCTATTTCTCCTTCTGTTCGAGCTATGTTGTAGGGTAGAATGGTCTAGACTAGCTGAGAACTGGGTTACAAACAGAATGTGTTCCTAGTCACCCCCTTCCCCAAAAATTTCAGGTTACACTATTCTAAATGTGTCAAAATTAATTACATCCCCACCCATTAGAAGACCCTAGTCTCCTAATCCGACTTTTCAATAATTATATCCTGCCAAGTGTTCGAGAATCAATTTTCATATTTCTAATCGATGTCTTCCTAAAAAGAAGTATCGATATCTATTGATGAGAAAGTTTCAAACGGAATGATGTGCTCGAAATTAATCTGTTACTCAAATTTACTGGAACATGTGGGTGTGGTTGAAGAGAGAACTCATACCTACACTCACATCTATTTTGATTCTTGTTTCAGTAGATGACAAAAGTGAGTGAATGAAACTTACTATATATAAATATAATTGGATTTAATTTTGCTCTCATACTCACCTGAACAGGTGATTTTCATCGCATATGCATGTGCGCTCTCTTACAAGCGTATGTATAAGCATACACTCCATATGCATTCATAATAGTCTCATTACATGATCTTCAAAATGTGCACAAAGCAATTATTTGAAGAATTACATACGTGAATAACAAAAACAAGTGTTCTCCTCATCAAGAAATGATCTGTCGGTTTTTTGTTGTCGTTCTGCATTAAAATAGTGCTATCTATTTTTCCCTAATCTGTTCATGTATTCGGAGAAAATAGAAATTGAGAAATCGAAAAGAATTTCATCATCTTCAAAAAGAATAAAAGTCGGGTGTGGATGTGGATGCGAGTATGGATGTAGTGAAAAAAAAGAGGCACACCCACACCCCCATAATAACCATCTTTGATCACACAAAACAAACATATTCAATCATAGATCGCAAAAAGAAATGTTTTAAAATACTTTGAAAAGATCATCAGCTCGTGGTTTTAATAGCTCCGATTGTTCAAGTTTTTGTTTAGCGTCTAAGAGTCGTTTTTCTTTAAGCTAGGAAAATCAAACAAGAATTGTTTATAAAAAATATTCAATAATTTTGTTTCCTTTTCTTACTGGCTCAAATTTAATTAATATTACTTCATATTGAACAGATTCATCCATTGGAATCGAAAACTTTTCCAAGCCTTGAAGTGCTTTTGCTTTTAAATCTAATTGACAATATTCATTGTAAGACATTTTGTAAAGAGCTCGTTCAACACTAAAATCCAATGAAAAGAAGAAAAAAAACAATATTCTATTTGAATAACAATAAAAAAGAACCAATCTTTCCTATTAACCCTAAAGGAATATATTGAAGAAAACCTAATCCAACAACAAATTGAATAGTTCATTCATCAAATATATTGTCTTAATACATTCCTTTGAGATTAATTTCTACCGTTGCATCTTCATTGGATGATTCACGTTCTTCACCTCGACGAATTATTCGTCTAATAATATTTCCATCTTTTCCATCACTTAAATCTTTTCCTAAAAGTGAAAAATTTATTACCAGGAGAAACATTATAAACAATCGATAAATTGATTTTACCAACAAAATCTAATAATTCTATCTCAAAAATGACACTTGTAGCAGATCTAAATATTTTTTCATCTCCTTTTAAACCATAAGCATATTTGGGTTTGAAAAAAAATCGGGCAATTTCTTCACGTTTCATAGTAGTTACACCAAGCTTCCAAGCTTGAATCACTTCAACTTTACCCAAACTAAAACTAAATTTTTCATTTCGATCTCGACGATTGACGAAAAATTTTTCCATCAAGTTCACTTCCAACATAATGAATAAAAACTTCATCATCGAACATTGGTTTATCATCATTGATACCTTGACGAACAATTTCTTTCATTAAATCTTTGAATAGAAGAAAGAACCACGTGAATCAAAGATAAAACTCAATAAAATTCACTGGAAATATGTACCTTTATCTTTGTCTGGAAAAGATTTTCACCTTTGAATAGAAGTGTTTTTCTTCTTCTAATTGAATTGACGTCATTGATCGAAAATTTTCATTCAACAAAGTCGTTCTCAAAGATTATTTCCAACGAACAATACCTAAGTATATATGTTCATCATGCATCAATAAACATGTGTATGCATTGAATCGTTTTATTTTATCAACAGATGCTGTACGATTGAATCCTTTCTTTTTCTTTTTTCGAATGAGATAAGATTTAATATTAATAGAGAACTGTCTTACAAATATTCTTGTTGAAAAAAACAATAAAGAAAACGCACTTTGGCCATTGAATAAATGCAAAGAAAATGTCAATTATTAACGACAATCTTCTGTAGAAATGAATTCTTTGAACAGATTTGATTTTAGTCTATTGATTCGACGAAGAGATTTTTTGCATCATTCGCCTTTATCTACTCAATTTCAAATAAACAGTAACTTTCTTAGATTTTTTTCTCCTAGATTATGTATAAAACCACGGGATCGAAATCGCGGATTTTTTTCGTTAGTGCTGCTGAGATACTATACTTTTTAGCAGAAAACCATGACCCGCGCAAGAAAACTGAGATTCGAATTTCGACGTGACATTTTGCATAGAGAATCGCCTATATGAGAATAGTTTATTGTAAAATCTTCAAAAATTTTTATCGTTTCTTTCCTAAGATATGCCTATGGCGAAAGCATGTTTTTTTTTACACTCCTCATGTGCAGCAGCGAATTCGACTGTCTCTAATTTGAGAATAGGCGCAATCAAAAATCCTGAAACTTTCACAACAATTTATCATTGTTAAGGCCTGTCTTTATGCTAAAATTCAAGTCCAAATTTGACACTCAGTTTTCCCTAGAAGACTACAGCATTCTACTAAAAAATACAGTATAGCGGCAGTCACAATAAGCTATTATAATCCGAACTCTTTTCAGGATACTCATAATCTCACATTTAGAAACGTTCTATCATAAGACAAAGCTTAGTTCCTATAACTATTAAATTTAACAGAGATATTGAGAAAATATTGAAATTCCCATTTAGTCTGATGCACTCCATATTTCAGTAGAAAAGTAAAAAGAAATAGATGATTGCTTATGTAATTAATTAGTTAAGACAGTAACTTTATCATATTGTAATTTCTAAACATTATCATTTTATTTTTCAATGCATACTAAAAATACTTATATTCTACATCTACATGAACGTCATGGAAAACAAAAACACATGTACTGTTTTTTATTGAAGTTTGCCATGTTATTTCTTTTCTTATTAAAATCATTCTTAAGAGCACAAAATGTTTTTCTTCCAATTGATGATCAAATCACTTTTGCTCAAACCATCATAGACAATCATAAAGGTTATCACGTACATGATAGTTGTATCAATTTTTCAAAAACATTTCTAAATACTTTTTGTTAACATATTTTCTTCAACCCTATATAAACCTAGTGAAATAATAGTTGAAATTGTACTTGCTTATATATGCCATTATATAAGCATAATTATTATCAAGCATATCGTTTAGTGCGTTTTTATTCTCAAGATAATATGTTAATTACAAGAATAGGATATACTATTTATTACTATTCAGGGAATATTTGTACAACTACTATTCTTAGTAATACTATGCATAATTCAATTGCTACGTGACTTGTTTTTCTTACTAATCATAAGGAAAAAGAGAAAGAATAAGTCGATTGGATTTTATGTTTTAATTGCAGTATAGATTCTTTTTAATGCAGTTCCTTTCATCTGTATCAAACAGAATTTTACAATACATTATTCATGTACAAATCTATTAATGATGCCTGATGAAGTATGTCTTTTTATTTTAAGTTTTTTTTTTTTTGTTTATCATAGAAATAGTTCATAGTATCATCTTGCTCAATATGTTAAAATGCAAAAGAAGAATAGAGTATAATAGTAATGATTAGAAGTTCAATGTAACAAAACTTTGCTAACTCAATAAACAGTTATGATACACAATCCTTTAAAGTAGAACTACTTAACTAAAATGAATTCATGTATGTACTAAAGCAATGAAATAAGTATATTATTTCAAAATTTATTCATTTTATTTGAAACCAAAATAAAATCCATAATAGATAATACAAAACGAAAATAAGAACAACATTTCTACATAAAATAAAATGCTACCACTATTATAGGCTTTTATCAACAAAATCAGACCAGTAAACTTATGTAGAAGGGATACACATGATTTCTCTATAGCAAATTTATCAAGTGATTAGTAGGAATTAAGATCACTGGTTGAATTTTCTTCTGAAATTAATATTTCGTTTTGAACTATAAAAAAAAACTTAAAGAAGATCGTTCAATTATTCAATGGAAATATTAATTTAGCGAAAATCTTGTCTTGTTTTTTTTTTCAAAAAGTAAATCGAAAATGAAAATTCCAACTCTGTTAAGTTACAGAGCTCAACTTTCTGTTCAATTCAAAGCGTTCTAGCATGTAAAACGATCGAGAAATTTTTCACACAAGAACAGACAAAACTATTTTAAGTAAAACTCGAAACAAAGTTTGATCTAGAAATCCAAGTTTCTTTCTTCATAAAACGATATAGAAATCAAACCGTGAAAAAGCAATAATAAATCCGTTAAATTTGATTGAACATTGAGGATTGTCCAAAACAGATAGAAATTGAATTTTCGGACGCAAATCTCGATTTTCGACAGCGAGATGGGCTATAGATTATCAAATCTGATCATAAGAAGTTTTCTTACGAGGGAACTACCCCAAGTGATTCACTGCTTTTGAGCTCATATTTTGGGGATAAGTAGGAGATCCCGACACTAGAATAACCCTAAGAGGATTTGGGCCCATGCACCTGTGGGGCTGAGTTATAACCGTTTTACTCGATTTTTGCCCTAGGGCACTGGTTCAC